TGCGGCACGTCCCGCCGCCGGCAGGGAGCCCCGCGCCTCTCCCGCTCGGCTGCGCTCCAGCGGCTCCTTCCCGGCGGGGCCGCGGCAACTTTCCCTTCCCCTCCCAGGCTCCTAGTAACCTCCTCCCTCCATTGAGAGATCCAATGGGGGAAGGAGGGGGCGGAGTCGGGGTTGGGGGGGCGTGAGCGCCGGAGCGGAGGGCAAATTTGCTTTTTTGTCCAGGGACAAAGAAGGAAATATCGGGACTGTCCCAATAAAATCGGGACGTCTGGTCACCCTAGTCGCAGCATGGCCCCGCTCCAGCTCCTACGCACTCTAATGGGAGCTTCAGGGCGGTGCCTGCGGATGGGGCTGCGTGCAGAGCTGCCTGGCCACGTAGGAGCCAGAGAAGGGACATGACTCTGCTTCCGGGAGCCGCTTGAGGTAAGCGACATTCGGAGCCTGCACCCTTGAGCCTCTCCCCACGCCCAACCCCCTGCCCCAGCCCTGATCCCCCTCCTGCTCTCCAAACCCTTCAATCCCAGCCCAGAGCACCTTCTGCACCCCAAACACTTCTCATCCCCAGCCCCACCCCAGAGCCCACACCTCCAACCAGAGACCTCACCCCCTCCCACATCGCAGCCCCCGATTTTGTGAGCATTCATGGCCCACCATAAAATTTCTATTCCCCGATGTGGCCATCAGACCAAAAAGTTTGCCCACCCCTGGACTAGATGATCTGATGGTCCCTTCTGGCTGTCAACTATGACTCTACGATTTAGGCATAGAAAACTCCATGGGCACATACCTATGCCAGAAGTACATGCATGTATGCACATGCAAGTTACCACCGTACACATGTATGTATTCATCAGACATGGACACACCTGAAACTGTTCAGAGTAGCTGGGTTCTTCTGTGAATGCACCTGATAAGTGTTCAAACAAGGAGTGACTAATGCTGCTGACTCATTGTGACAGCCGTGGCTCATTAACTCCACCTTCGATTGACGAGAAGTGGAAGTCGCCCTTTTGAGAGATGACTCTAGGGTCTGGGTCTGAAAGGAACCCTTGGAAAAACAGCCAAGTCTCAGGGGAGGGATTGGACTGGAGTTTGTTTTTATATTTTGAGTTACCCCAAGGGTGGCGCCAGCCACTTCCTGGTGCGGGGCCTCAGATGGACCAGACAGAAAATGGAGTGGGCTGCTCCCCTCCTTGCCATGAGGCCCCTCCCTTCTCCATGACCCTGCCCCCTGGCCTGGCTGGTTGGAAGCCAGAGCCGGGCAGTGTGGGGCACTAGCTGCTCGCAGCCAGCAAGAGCCACCCAGGCTGGGGACCAAAGCCCTCAGGGAGTAGCAACCTCTGGGGGCAGGGCCCAGGAGTCTGGGCTGCAGCAGGTCAGTCTGGGCCATTATGAGGAACTCTAGACCCTCCACCTGCCCAGGGCAGAGACACGGGCCAGGGGTACTTTCAGGTACCCCAGCCCCCTGCCCAGGCTTTCTTCTCCTCTGCTGCTGGAGCTGGGCGCCAGGCCAGCAGCCACCTCTCTCCGCTCTGCCTTCAGAGCTGGGCAGCGGGAGAGCGGGAGCTGCTACAGGGGATCTAAGCACATTTTGAGGTGGCTATAGCCCTCGCAGCCCCCCCATCCCCCCAAGTTACTTGGTTAATAAAGCCAAACCTCAGGAAGTAGGCAAGTTTTGATCCAACACAACATGTTTGTTCACAGTGTTTAGGAGGGAGAGATATGGGGGGGAAGGGCAAGAAAGTGTTACTGGCTCTCTGTCAGTCATACACTTAGGTGTACAAGTCTGAAAATGTGTGCCTTGATCTCTTCATCTCAAATGAATCAGTCTCACAATATGCCTTCACCTAGGTCTACACTACAACTTATGTCGGCATAACTTATGTCACTCAGGGAGGAGAATAAATCACCCCCCTGAGCTACATAAGTTACGCCGACATCACCGCCGATGTGGACAGCACTATGCCAGTGAGAGCGCGTCTCCCACCAACATAGCTACTGGCGCTTGCGGGGGCTGGAGTAGTTAAACCGACGGGAAAGCTCTCTCCTGTCAGTTTAGAGCAGCTACATCAGACACCTTACAACTCTAGTGTAGCTGTGCCCTAAGTAACCACAGCTCATGTGACAGGTTATAGTGGGTTTAATCCTTTCAGTATATGTACTCATCTAATTTTGTATCCTACTCCAAACGATAAACGAAGAGCACTTCACAGTCTCCCAGCATGAACTTTATTTGCATGTCAACGAGCCCTTTCTAGGACAGGTGTTACCTGAACTCATTTAGCAATACCAGAGTGGTACTAATTTAAAATTGTGTGTTTACCTGAATGGAGCTACCAGGAAAAAAATAAAGGCAATCATAGGTAAGTTTATTTTGGCAAAACATCTGAAGGTCAAGAGACCCTGTTTGAAAGGGGCAGGATTTAATAACTGATAAAAGAAAATTAACCATGTCAAGTGGATGCATTTTGAAGAAGAATTAATAGGTACCATGACTCAAGAAAACGGCAATTACACCTTTCAATTGTAACATCTAAAGACCAAAGAGGAACTGGCCTATCTAGGAGGATATTGAACTAACAGGAGCTAATAGACAAATCCATTTGATGGCAAGCTATAAGGTTGAAACTGGACCACATTTGCCTCTTGGACAGGTGCAATCCAACTGATCAGGCTTGAAAAAAATCCATTAACCAAGGACAAGTGGGAAATGTTCCCCCCAAACTCCATGCTTGCAACAGAAAGGGCTACAGCAATCATTTTTGCAGAATGCAAGCATCTTTGGTTTTTTTTTTTAAATTGTCTAGCCTTTACGGTTGTGAAATTAACCAAAGTTT